TGGGTAGGAAATAAATTGGATTAAATTTAGAGTATCTGAGAGAGTTAGAGCAAAGGAAAAGGGTTAGCAGTAATATTAAAGGATCAGTTATGGAAGAAGAAAGAATATGAATGTGTAAATTCAAGATTTATGTGGATTAAAGTAAAGGTTTGATACGAAAAGTGGGTCATAATGAACGTGTATGCATGTGGAGAAAGAGAGAGAGATTTTGGGAGATGTTAAGTGAATGTATAGGAAGTTCTGAACCAATTGAGAGTAATTATGGTAGGGGATGTGAATGCTACAGTAGGAGAAAGTTTTAGAGAGGGTATGGTAGGTAGGTAGGTAGGTAGGTTTGGGGTGGCAGGTGTAAATGATAATGGGAGCCCTTTGATTGAACTTTGTATAGAAAGTGGTTTAGTTATAGGTAATATATATTTTAAGAAAAAAAGGATAAATAATTATACAAGATATGATGTAGTGTGAAATGACAATAGTTTTAGGTTATGTATTGGTAGATAAAAGATTGTTGAGTAGACTTGAGGATGTACATGTTTATAGTGGGGCCACAGATATATCAGATGAGTTTCTAGTTATAGCTACAGTGAGAGTAAAAGGTAGTTGGGATACAAGGAGAATAGAAGCATCAGGGAAGAGAGGTGAAGCTTTATAAAGTAAAAGAGGAGGCAGTTAAGATATAAACGGCTATTGGAGGATAGATGGGCTAATGAGAACATAGGCAATGGGGTCGAAGAGGTATGGAGTAGGTTTAAAAATGTAGTGTTAGTTTTCAGCAGAAGTTTGTGGTTACAGGAAAGTAGGTGGGGGAGGGAAGAGGAGAGATTGGTGGAATGATAATGTAAATAGTAATAAGGGAGATAAAGTTAGCATATGGGAAATTTTTACCAAGTAGAAGTGATGGAAGGAGGGAAGAGTATATGGAGAAAAAGAGGGTTAGGAGTGGTGAAGAAAAGTTAAAAATAGGCAAATAAGAGTGGGTGAGATGTTACCAATAAATTGTTTTGAAAATAAGAAAAGTTTTGGAGTGAGGATTAACAATTTAAGAAAGCCTAGAGAACAAATGGATTTATTAGTTAAAATAGGAGAGGAGAGTTATTAAATGTTCAATTAGAGGTATACTGGGAAGATGGAGGGAATATTTTGAGGAATAATTAAATGTTGATGAGGATAAGCAAGGTGTGATTTCATGTATAGGGCAAGGAGGAATAACAATGTTGTAGGAGTGAGGGAATAGCTAGTTATGAGGCAGTAGTTAAAATGAAAGGGGGTAAGGCAGCTGGGATGATGGGGTAAAGATAGAAATGTTAAAAGCATGTGGGGATTAGTTTTGGAGTGGTTGGTGCAATTATTTAATAAATGTTTGGAAGGTGGTAAGATACCTAGGGATTTGCAGAGAGCATGCATAATTTCTTTGTTTAAAGGCAAAGGGGACAAAATAGTCCCAAAATTATTTGGGGGATAAGTCTGTTGAGTATACTGTTAGTGTATTGGTAGTTATTATTGAAAGAATTAAGATCAAGATGGAGAATAGGTAGCAGATGAACAAGGAGGTTTAGGAAAGGTAGGGGTTTTTGTGGACAGGTGTTTACAATGAAAAAATATAAGTGAATAGTATTTAGATAAGGCTAAGAGTTTTTTGTGGCATTTATTGATTTGGAAAAAGGCGTATGACAGGGTGGATAGGGGGGCAATGTGGCAGATGTTTCAGGTGTATGGTGTAGGAGGTATGTTATTTGAAGCAGTGGAGAGTTTTTATGAGGATAGTGAGGCTTGAGTTAGAATATGTAGGGAAGAGGGAAATTATTTCCCAGTAAAAGTAGGCCTTAGACAAGGATATGTGATGTCAATGTGGTTATTTAATATATTTATAGATGAGGTTGTAAGAGAAGTAAATGTGAGGGTGTTTGCAAGATGTGTGGAGTTAAAAGATAAAGAATCACACCTAAAGTGAGAGTTGTCACAGTTACTCTTTGGTGATGAGTGTGTGCTCTTGGGAGAATCTGAAGAGAAGTTGCAGAGATTGGTGGATGAATTTGGTAGGGTGTGCCAAAGAAGAAAATTAAAAGTGAATATAGGAAAGAGTAAGGTTATGAGGATAACAAAAAGATTAGGTGATGAAAGATTGGATATGAGATTGGAGGGAGAGAGTATGGAGGAGGTGAGTGTATTCAGATATTTTGGAGTGGATGTGTCAGTGGATATGTCTATGAAAGATGAGGTGAATCGTAGAATTTGAGCGGAAAAAGGGTGAGTGGTGCACTTAGGAGTTTGTGGAGGCAAAGAATTTTGTCTTTGGAGGCAAAGAGGGGAATTTATGAGAGTATAATTTTACCAATGCTCTTATATGGTTGTGATGAATGTTTGAGCAAGGAGAATGCTGGAGTTAGTGGAGATGTCATTTCTGAGGGCAATGTGTGGTGTGAATATAATGCAGAGAATTTGTAGTTTGGAAGTTAGGAGTAGGTGTGGGATTACTAAAATTTTTATGCAGAGAGTTGAGGAAGGGTTATTGAGGTGGTTTGGAAGTGTAGTGAGAATAGAGCCAAACAGAGTGATTTGAAGAGTGTATTGGTCAGTGTTGGCCTAGGAAAGGTTGGGAGGGGGTAAAGGAGGTTGTGGGTGTGAGGTGCTTGTATTTTTAACAGGCATGCGTGAGTGTGTTTGATAGGAGTGAATGGAGACAAATGGTTTTTAATAGTTGTTGTGCTATTGAAGTGTGAGCAAAGTAACCTTTATGAAGAGGTTTAGGGAAAGTGACTGACAGGTTGGAGTTGAGTCGTGGAGATGGGAAGTACAGTGGCAGCACTCTGAAGGAGGAGTGTTAATATTTCAGTTTAAGAACTGTATTGTAGAGGACCCTTCTGGCAAGACGGTGATGGAGTGAATGATGTTTAGTTTTTATTTTGTTTGAGCCACCATTCGTTTGTGGGAATCGGCTAATGTGATAATAATAAATAATAGATATAAATGTATTAATTTTTTTAACTAATGAGATATTTGAAATTGTTTATGGATTTGGGATCGATTGTATTTAATTTAATTTTGCAACCGTGAATAAAAATTATCTGTGCAGGTAGAAGTATGGTTTGAAAAAAATGATATTGGCAAACGAGATGACGTGTGTATTTATGTATATGTATGTATGTATGTATTTGACCCGTATTCAGGACATGGTAAATTAACGTATGTAGGTAATTTTTGAGTCACATGAGGTGGATGAAGTGAAAATGTGGGATTGAGGGAGATTTGATTGAATTATTTTAGTTATTTTGGTAATTTCATAATACATTGAAAGAAATGTTATGGTTTGTGATCAATTGTATGTAGGTCATGATTAATTAATGTTAAGAATATGAATTTGTGAAATTTTATTTTGTTGGAGAGAAGCAAGTTAATCTGATTATTTCCTCTAGTTATTTGTTATTAGAATATTTGAAAAAAGAAATGTTAAGAGTATAAATCAAATTATTTTTTTAGTAAAATTTGTTTGTATCGTGTGATAGTTTTAATTTTTGTAAATTGGAAAATATTTGATTTTGATGTGTAAATGAGTTATGAATTTCATCCTATAACAGATTAGTGCAGTATTTTGTATCAATCAAGGTTTAGGTGCCTATAAATGATATGGAAAATGAGTTTATCACGACTTTATCAAAAGTGTAGGGAAGTTGAATCTGTGTTTGATGTTTATAATGTTGTATCATGTGTAAGAAGAAATTAAATTTGAGAGATACATAGGTAATGAATCAATCTTGGTGTTTATACTGTAAGTGTGGAATATTTTATAACGATTTGTCTCATTCTAAAAGTTTTTTTATTTGAGGTTGAAGTAGGTGTTTGTTGTATTATTTATATTAGGTGAACTTGCAATTAATGTTAATTCATAAATTTTTTTTATTTTTTAGATTTATATTATTTTATAGTAGACATTGAGGGAGGAAGTCAGTCATTTGTGTCTATTAATATTTTGTTTTTTTATTGAGGAATTGATTGATTTTAAAATGTTAATTATTGTATTTAGAATATTATTTCAGATATCCCTGAGGTGTGTGTGTGTAATATCAAAGTTAATAAATTTTTTTTTTAATTTTAATAATTGAGGTAGATTGAGTGATGTATTGTTTTGTAGAAATACGCATACGTGTATATTTTAAGTAGTGTGTTAATGGAATTGACTACTAGAATAATTGTATCTTTAGGGAGATGAAGGGATTATTTACATAAATATGTTGTTTTATTTATTAATGAATGGGATTGCAAGTTTTGTGAATTATTTTTCTAGTCAGCAATTATATGAATTACTGTAGACATGCATTAATTGGGTAATTAATTTATTTTGAAGGTGGTGCTATTACGTATGAATTGGATGGTTTTTTTTTTAGGCGTATGTAAATATTTTTTTTTTTTGGTTTGTAGTTGGACAAGAAGTTTTAGTTGTTTTGCATGTTAATGTCATTATTTCCAATATTAAGATGAGGTTATTGTCATTATCAGACAATACTGAAGTTATTTCTGATTAAGTGTCTGAGTCAGTGACTGACTGACTGACTGACTGACTGACTGACTGACTGACTGACTGACTGAGTGAGTTAGTGACCCAGAAGTGGTCATGGATTGGAGATGTAGTTTGCCTGTCTATTTGATAGAAAAAGGATATTTTATATGTTTATATGAGAATGTTGTTTTATTAAAATAATGCAAAGTAAGTAATTTGATTAGGATGGGAATGAGTGGTATGTTGAAGGTAATTATGCAGTGAAGTGCAGTCATCATTAAGACCAAATTGATTTTGTATGTTGACAATTTATTAATGCTCATTATATTTATTATTTGTGAAGTTTGAAGTACTTGCCAATTAAAGTGGATGCCATTATCATTTGTATTGAATATTTTTGTATTAATTTGAAATATAATAATTTTTTTGTTCATATAATTTGAGTCTAATTGTCAAAAATTGGAAAAAAAATTGAAGTTTTTTATTCATGTTTTGTTTATTACAGGTTGATGAAGGTTTTGGAGGTGTATTAAGATGAGTAATGTTTGATGTTTTTGTAAATTAATTGATTGAAGTGTTTAATATATATATATAGAGATGTTTACTAAGTTGTTTATTTTTGTTTTTTAGTTTTGTGAAGTGAGTTGATAGTAGAGTATGGCTGGCTGAGTGAGTGCCGGATTTTGGCAGAGATGGCTATTGTGGAATGGTATTTATGTGGTATGTATATTTTATTAATATTGTAAGTGATACTGTTTTAAATGTTTCAAAATGTTAAAATGAAATTTATTTTATTTCAGGTTGTTAAGGTATTTTACCGCGAAGAGTGAGGGATGGTTGTCTATTTGTGTGTTTAAGATGAGTAATATTTATTTTAGTATTGGTAAATAATTTATTGGAGAGTGTTAAAGGTTTGTAGGGGCAAGGTTTATTTTATGGTGAAGAATTTTTTTTATGAATGACGAAGTAAATGTTTATTGTATTAAGGCTTGAAAGAAAATAAAGAATGAAGTTTGTATCCCAGACTTGTTTTTATTAATTTTGGAGCAAATGTATATATGTAATTTAGGAGTTGTGTATATGTTTGTGGTTTTTAAGGTGTTAATGTTTGGAGAGTAGTAGTAGTAGTAGTAGTAGTAGTAGTAGTTATTTTTTCAGATGTAATGTTTGGTGTTTATATAGTTTTAAAAAATATTAACAAACAGAAATGATTCTAGTGTTTAAGAAAGGTGATAGCACTGCAATAGATAATAATTTTTTATGCAATAGGAAATATTTGTGAGAAATTTATATATATTTGAATTATTTTTTTATTATTTTTCAGGTTGGTGATGAATTAGTGATCGATTGTGATTGATGGAGTTTGTTATAGGAAGGAAGTGTGGGTGACTGCTGGTGCCGTGTATTAAGATAAGTAATATTTTATTTATTTGTTAAAATTTTTTAAGAACGTTAAAAGTATATAGGGAGAATGGTGTTGTGGGGGTGAAGATAATTTTTTAATTGAGATAAAAAGTAATTTTTGTGTATTAAGGCTTGAAACACAGACAAAATAATGAAGGTCATATCCTAGATTTGTCATTATTAGTTTTTGAACAAGTGTATATATAATGTGGGAGTTATGTATATATTTGTGGTATTTGAGGTCTTAATACTTTGAGAGGAGGAAGAGTAGTAATAGTTGTTATTTTGTTTTTGATGTAATGTCGGGTATGTATATAATTTGAAAAAAATTAATAAATAAATACCAAAATGATTGTAGTAGTATTTAAGATGATTGGACTAAAATAGATAATATTTATATATCGACAAGAAAATTTTTATTGAGAGAAATGTCAATGTATTTGAAGTGTTTTATTTTATTTGTGATTGAGTTTGGAAGCGGCGATGAGTGTAATGAATTCTTGTGGAAAGGTGTGTAATAATAGTTGTTATAAATGTGTGTTAATTTTATTTGATATATTTATTAAGAGATTTTAAATTTTTTTTAGGTTTATGATGAATTTATGGCGGAGTGTGAGTGAATGACGGACTTTATCAGAGGAAACAAATATGGGATGTTGATGATGGTGATTCATGTTAAGATAAGTAATGTTATTTTTACGTATATGTAAATTATTTATTTAGGAGCATTACAGGTATATAGGGAGAATGGTGTTCTTGGGGGGTGAAGATAATTATGGGTTGAGGAGCAAGAAAGTAAAGTAAATTGTGAGTGTATTAAGGGTTTAAACATTGACTAAATAATGAAGGTTGCATCCTAGACTTGTCATTGTTTTATTTTTGAATAAGTGTATGTATAATATGCGAGTTTTTTAAACATTTTAGGTGTTAATATGTGTAATATAGTTTTTTGTTTATAGTTGTATAATGGTGGTTATGTATATATTTTTGAAAAATTTTAATTTATTCTTTTATTAAATTTGATTAATAACAATAAAATAGATAATGATTATAAGTAGGTTTGATGTGAGAATCTATTAATTTATATTTGATATGTTTATTAAGAAATTTAGTTTATTTCAGGTTTGTGAAGGTGATGAAGAATGTACGTTGTTTATTTACTGAGTGGTTGATGGATTTTAGGCGAGGCAGCAAGTGTGGATTGGTGGTTATACTGGTTCTTATGTATTTGGTATGTATTTGTTGTTAATTTTTGAAGTGACAATGTTTGAAGAAATATTGTTTTAATAACACAATAAATTTAATCTTTTAGATATTTGTTTGAGATTTTAGTGGGAAGATTGAGTGAGTTATATTATTTTATAAGTTTTAATGAAGAGATTAGTTGAAATTATGTATGGAGAAGAATATTGATTTTTAGAAAAATTTTGTTTGAGGATCAAGAAATGTAGTTTTTGATGTATTAAGGCTTGAAACAAGGAGTAAATAATGAGGGTTGGATCGTAGAGTTATTTATAATTTTTGAACAAGTGTATATGTAATTTGGGAATTGTGTATACATTTGTGGTGTTTGAGGTCTTAATGTGTATTGGATTTTATATATGAAAATTGAGGGATTTGATGAGAGAAATGTGAAATTAATAATATTTTTTTATTTTATAGACTAATTGTTTTTATAGTCTATGTTGTTTATTAGTGGATATGTTTTATTTTTCAGGTTGGTAGAGGTTGTGGCTGAGTTTTGATTACTATCTGGCTGACTGACTGAATTTGGGAGAGGCAGTGAGTATAAGGAATTATTATTGAAAGGTGTGTTAACATTTATTTTGATTTTAATAATTAATTTTTTTATTGATAGGTTTATGTAGGTTGTGAAGAGTTAGCAGTTGAGTGAATGGGAGAAGGAGCGAATACAAGGAATTAATATTGAAAAGTGTATAATTGTTGTATAATTGTTTTTACATGTTGAAAATTGTTATTTGTTGATATGTTTGGTAATATATTATTTTTTTTTTATTTCAGATTTGTGAAGGTGCTTTATTAGTGGTTTATTGATTATGAGTGAATCAATGATGGAGTTGGAGTTGTGTAGTGATGGAATGTGCTGATATATTAGCAGGAAGAGTGAGTGAAGGCTACTGTATGTATATGTTTTTTTATAAGTTGAGTATTATTTTTATATTTATGTAAGTTGTTTATTGAGGAGCCTTAAAGGGTATATGTAGGGAGAATATTGTTATTGAGAGGAAGATAATTTTAGAAGAAGTAAGAAAGTAAAGTAACTTTTTTTATATTTAGGATTGAAACAGAATAAATAATGATGGTCTTATCCCCGACTTATCATTATTAATTTTTGATCAAATGTATATGTAATGTGGGAGTTATGTATACATTTGTTTTATTTGAGGTATTAATAGTTGTGGAGTTGAAATAATTAATTTATTTGGAGATAATGGTGGGTATATATGTAGTGTGTGATTATTATTTATTAAAAATTTTAATTTCAATGTTTAAGAAAGATGATGGGTATTAATTTTTAGAGTTAAATGTTGGTAATGTATTTTAATAAATTATTGAGGTGTTTTATTGAAATATTTTTGACTATTAATAAGTATTTAATATTTATTTATTTTTATTTCAGATTGATTGATGGAGGATGAGAGCTTAGTATGGTGGTTGATTGGTAGTAATATTTAGCAGAGGGTGGGAATATGAGCAGCTAATAATGAAAAGTTAAGTATTGTTTAGTAATTTATATTTAAATTGACTCAAGAAATTGTAATGACAAGATTTCAAACAAATGATATGCCTGGCTGGGATTGAAGGTGTTTTCATAGTCTCAAAACTGCATTGTGTTGTTAGCCACTAGACCAAGTAGCCACAATAAGATTCATTCAACTAGGTATATATGTACACCATAGGAAGGTTAGAAGAGGCATGACAATGATGACAAATGTAAGTTTTTAAAGAGTAATGTCCAAGTAGTGTGGCCGTGATGAAGTGTAAGTGAAGTCTCTGGATTGCTGTCAACACGTCGTTATCGGGTAATGCGACGGGCTGGAGTTTTGAGACTATAACTGTGGGTTGAATCCTGGCTGTGCTTATGGTTAGTTTAAGAAATAAACACTAAGTAAATGTACTTATTAATTTGAAGATGATAGAAGTTTGTAAGATGCTGAAGAGGCTTTTATGCCTAGCATTAATTGTAGTTTAAATAAGCAGTATGTTGAGTGTTAAACATTGTAGTAAAGATATGTTAAGAATGAATCACAGTGAATTATTTGAAAGATATTTTATGATGTTGAAAAATTTTACATTAATCTTAAAAATCAATATTAACAAATTAGTTTAATAAATAGATGAAATATTGATGAAAGTTTGAATATGTTATGTGAAATGTTAGAATTGATTATGTTTTTAATATTAGTTAAAACAAATTTATTATGGAGAAATGTATATTTAAAAATTTCAAAATGTAAAGTTTACTAAATTTTATTATTTTTTCGTAGGTTGTTGGAAGCGTGTTTGCGGAGGTTGCATTGATCAATATGTGATGTAGAGGTTTTATATGGAGTGAGTTAATGTGATGTTTAATATTTTAAGATAGTTAATTAATTATTAAATGCAAATTAGGTGTAATAGGTTTTGGTGAATTATTGAATGAGCATTGTAAAAGCCATAATGACTTTCTTCACTGAAAGAGTGAAGATACTGCTGGTGTCCAGACCAAGTTTTCACTAATGTCTACAAACGTACATTTAACAATGAAGGTTGCATCCCAGACTTTTCATTGTTAATATGACTGCATGTGTATATATAATGTGGGAGTTTTGTATATGTTTGTAGTGTTTGAGGCATTATGTGGAGACTTGCGTTTTGGAAATACCGGGTATTCATGTACTCTGGATGGGTTGATTTGTCGCTGTGAAATGGTTAGTAACATTGTTTGTGAAATATGATACCAATAAAGTTATTATAATGAAGGGGAATTTGTAAGTATTCAGTTTTAATTGTGGGAACTTGAGCATAGATTAAATTTTATAAATGAATAGCCAATCAGGAATAAAGTTATGTTTTGAGTTTATATAGGGTTTGTTAATTATAATAAAATTTAAATATTTTTTCCCTTATTGAAAGTTTGTGAAAAAATAATGTAATGATTGAAAGTTATTATTTTTTGAGGAAAATAAGATATGAAATGTTATTTGAATAATATTTACTTAGTTAGCTAATTAATATTTTACAGAAATGTTTGAGATTGATTTTTGTACAAGTATGTAATTATTGGTTTAAAGGAAAATATTTATATCCTGATTTGAATAGAATAGGGCAAGGATTGTAATAGTCAATGAAATTAGTAATAATGAAAATATTTATGTAATGAAAGTATATGAAAATGAATAATTATTTACATTGAAATAAAATTTGAAATGGTAATGTGTGAATATAGAAACCAGAAATGTTAATGAATTAATAAGACCACATGTGGAACAAATAAATTTGATAATTTTAAATATCTTGATGATAAGAAATGTTTGCAAGTCAGTTTGACAATGAAGCAAGCAGTGATTAATGATTTTTTACCAACGAAAAAAAAAAAAATTTATCTAACAGAGAATGCGTCACATAACTAAACATGTTCGTAATGAAAAATGTGGAAAAGTTTATCCCCCTAAAAAACAGATAAAGTGAAACTGAAATAAATTTTTTTGTCTGTACTATAGGAAAAGACCTTCCTAATTAAATTGGATACTGCATCTAAATTCATTTTTTCTAACACTGAAAAACAAGTAAAGTTGGTGTGAAAAGTTTATTTGGTGGGGGTGGGGGGGGGGGTTTAAATTGGGTTTTGTCTTTGTTTAGTTAATAGTTGTACAACAAGATGGGCATAAAACTTGTTGTGACAATGTCAATTTCAGAGCATGGCTAACATGACATTTTTAAGTTTTGTGATCCTGTAATCACAAGTTCTATTGTCACCACTGTACTATATAGTCCTTGTGGCTTAGCGCTTCTTTTTTATTATAATAATATTGTCACGACTTGTATTGTTTGATAAAGTATTATGCAAGTAATCTCATTAAAGAAAAATCTCCCCTTCTCATAGTGCTAATAATGCCCTATTGAAAAATACTTGTTACATCAATTTATAAACATTTTCCAATTAGACCCTTGTATACACTTGCCATTGTCTCATCTCTAAGGATATAAAACTGAAATTTGCAATTATATCCCCACCACCTTAGATATTGTCATTCCTCCAAAATTACCTGAAATAATATTTTCAAATGTAATGTGCACCCATATTGCAAATATTTTTCAAAATCACACGGCATATGTAAAATTAATCCATTTGACTGCTAACCATAAAATAATCAAAGCAAATTGTTGTTAACTAGTAAGGTCATCACACTCCTATTCAACAACCTGAATACCAAGAATACGTCTTTAATAGCCTTGAGATTATAAGGTCACTTAGGGAATCTATCTCATATCCCACCATTATCGTGCAAGAGAGTGTGGCACATGTCCTTTTGCATAGTATACAAGTCCCTAGAAATTAATACCTTCTTGAAATTATTAAAGATGGCAAGGGTTAAACCAATACATAAATGTGGTGATACTATGATTTTAAAGAAGTATACGCGAGATTTACACAAAACATACTCAACCACTTCCAATTTAGTTTCAAGGAAAATGTAAGCACTAATGAAGCAAATAAAAAAAAAAAAATGTAGATGTACTTTACACATCATTGGAAAAAATCAACTAGGAATTTGTATTGACATACGAGACCATGGCAAGTATTTCATAAATTTGAGCATTATGATATAAAGAAAGAGGCCATGTGTACTTGCATATTTCAAAATTGACTTTACTAATTAGGTGTCTTATGGTTAATGTTGACATGAATCTTAAACTAGTGATAAGTGATACTGGAACTATTATAGCAATTGTCAGACAAATTTATTTGTTAATAGTAATTTAAGCATAGAGGTTAAAACAATTAGTAGAGCAGCATGGCAAAGGCACTTTTATGCTGTCTTAAAAATTAACTAACAAACAAACATAATTAAAGAAATTTATTGTAAAGAGATAAAGAAAATAGATTCATTTTAATTGAAAATAGTATTTATTGATTGTTGGAATATTATTTATAGTTTTATAGAAGAGGACACACACTATGAATGAAACATTAGCCAAACACTGTAAAATACAACACACACTGACCCCATGAAAATGTTGTCATTTTACAAAAATGTTTGTTACTGATATTCCTTCCCAGAAGTTGTCCAAACATTTTAATGTTAACTTCCCCCCCCTCCCTCCTCTCAGCTCCTCCAAACCCAACAAATTCAGTTTACAAAAGGAATTTTAGAGACTAGATTCTTTTAACAATTTATATTTCAAGAAAGCAAATTCTACAAAAAAGTCCATATTCTGCTCTTCTTCACTCCTAAAAGATGGTATACCTCCCTGGCCAGTGCATGAAATTACCACCTCCCTTTCTTCCTCAACATTTAAAAGTTCCTCAAAATATTCTCCCCATCTACTAACTCCCCTACTGTGTTTTTAACTAACAAATCCATACTTTCCCTAGGCTTTCTTAACTTGTTAAACTCACTCCAAAATTTTTTTCTTATTAAAATTTCTTGACAGTGCCTGTCCCACTAATCTGCTCTCCTTTTGCACACTCCCTTTACTTCAATCATTCCACCAATCACTCACCCTCCTATACTGCATTTTTCAAACTATTCCAACCCCCTACTCATATCCACCAATACATAATCTAATAAACTACTTTCATTGCGTGCTACATCATACCTTGTATATTTATTTATCCTCTTTTTCATAAAATATGTATTACTTATTACCAAATTTCTTTCTACACATAGCTTTATTAAAAGACCAAATAGACAAAATTATTTTATATTCACTTAATAAAGTATTTATGAAAATGTTTTCCCTCTGAGTTGTGGGTCTAATATTCAACTAGTGTTACTCCTGGGTCCTCTAAGACTTCCAGAATCATACTACTCTTAATCCTGGATTTTAGGACTCGAGTACATTTCCTCCAGCATTGCTGCTCCTCACTTCTCTTACTCGAGCAGTGTTTATTACTAGTACAACTGCAACATCAACAGTAAAACTAACTTACGTGAGTACGCCATCTTCAAACCAATCAGTTACTTTTCATGACACTATTTATAAAAAATACTCTTTCAACCTGCCAGTTATATACACATGTTGTATACTTTCAGATGATGACATTAGGTCCTCACTTATATATTCACTATTATTACTCACTTTCACATCACAAAAACCACTTATCTCCACTCACTCCTATCTAACACTCACTCAATGTCTAAATCCCTTCTCATAACCTCCTCCTAACCTTTCCTAATAATAACCCCTCCCCTGCCTTTCCTCCACTAAAGATTTATACACCCTCGCAGTTATCCCGTTTGGTTCCATCCTGTCTTATCGTCCAAATCGACTCGACGACCCCTCTTCCTTCCTCTGCATGACGCTATGATGGAACCTCTACTCAGGACTTTAAATCCATTCCGTGACCTTGCCAGTAGATGGATTTGCAGAGTCAATTTTCCTCTTTTACATTATTGAAATGAAATCACTCCAGTGATGCAAGTGTGAGCTATATACCAAATCACTCTTACTCTATGCAAAAACTCAAAAAGTGCAATTTTCTCAAACAAATTATTTTCCCACACAAGGGCTCTGCACGCGTCTCCTGGAATATCTTGTAAGTAAATCATCGACCTATTTTGCACTGTATTACCGTCAATAAAAATACATCTAGAGGAATTTCCCAGCAATTATAAAAGTGAATGTTTAAATTTGGATCAGTGACACTTTTCAAGTGTCAGTGAGGAATTAAAGATAAATCATTGACCAACAGGGTCTTGTGACCTTGACTTTGCCGTTACTCAGTCATTAAGTGACGAGAAGCCATATTAAAAATATGTACCAGACTCCTAACGTCAGAGTGCTTTACTACCTGTAGAAATACAAAAAAAATGACTTGATATTTCTAGTTTCTTCTCACCTCTTCCCAAGCTTGACAAATACCCCTAAAAGGTGGCTGGCTGGCTGCCTGCTTGACACTGTGGAAAGTGCAACAGTTACCGAGAAAAATGAAGATGCCTCGTTTTCTCTGTTGCCTTCCATACGCTCGTGTACGAACTTGTCTGAAAAAAATATGATTCTTACAAACTACACCATCTATAAATTATTGTAGCAAGTGTGAATAAATGAACAATAGTTATAATTGAAAACCACTGTATTAGTGAAGTACTGTAAATACTCTTCAGGTTACTTGTTCTATCTAAGCTGGAATATCCTGCACACTAATAGCACCTTTCAAGACAGGTGAAATTGCCAACCTAGAAAATGTAAAAACAACTTTCACAGCGTGCATAAAGGAGATAAAACACCTCAATTATTGGGAACGCTTGAGGTTCATAAACCTGTATTCCCTGGAAAATCCTAGAGAGACTAGTACCAAACTTGCACACGAAAATCACTCGCTACAAAAGCAAAATACATGGCAGATGATGCACCATCCCCCCAATGAAAAGTAAGGATGTCACTAGCACGTTAAGAGACCATACAATAAGTGTCAGTGGCCCAAGACTGTTCAACTGCCTCCCAACACACATAAAGGTGATTACCAACATACCCCTGGCAGTCTTCAACCTGGCACTCGACAAGCACCTAAAGTCAGTTCCTGATCAGCCAGGCTGTGGCTCATAAGTTGGTTTGCATACAGCAACATCCTGGTTGATCAGGCTCTGATCCACCACAAGGCCTGGTCACACACCAGGCCACACAGGCCTTGACCCCCAAAACTCTCTCCAGGTAAACTCCACAGCCCACCTGTATGCATTTTGGGTAAAACTACAACTAAGTAATTAATTAAT